TGATGGTTTCTGCATTCCATTGGGTCACCTCTCTTTGGAATGGGCACAAATATGGATCTCTTCTAATCAGTTGGCCAGTTAGCTATTCCCAAATTTCTTGGCTTAGATGAGTGCTGCATTTGTTTGTTGAAAGATTTCAATTTGTATTCTGTCAATTTCTGGAGACTTGTTTCACCCAAACCTTAAATGTAGCTTGGACTTCTTCCTTCGGTACTATCAGTTCTTGATCGCATGCTACCTCTTGAAATGGCTGAACATCAACTATGTCTTTTTGATACAGTGGCTTTGTGTATACCTTTTGAAAGTGTTAATGCCTTCCAAATATCTTTCTAGTCCTGTTTTCTCATCTCAGCTATCGATTTATATCTTATCTGCCTCATAGGTATCTCCATAGATAGCTTACTCTTTAAATACCCAGGGCAATTCATTCTGTAGTTTTAATTTTAGTAATCTGTTTCTCCAAGCCAGAGCTTCCCTCCTTGCCATTCATCACATTCAGTTGGTTACCAAATTGTTGATTTTACCTTTTTTTTTTTTTCTTTTCTTCTTCATCTTTACTATCTTTGTAACATTCATCTCAGTTCAATGTGAATCCTTTTCAAATGAAGCCAGTCAACCATTCTCTCATCTAGAGTTTACTAACTGCTGGTGTCCCCCTCCTCAAAGTCTTCACTCACCAGTTTAACATCCATACTGTAGAGGAATGGTTCTGAAACACAAAGCTGGTCAGTCAAAGTTTTAGGTAATTGCTTCCATAATTTTGAAGTCCACAATATGAAGTCCATATTCCTGAGTCTTCTTTATGATCTTTCCTCTGAGAACTTCCTCTATTCCTTGTTGAATAATTAGTCTTCTGGCAGGCCTAAGTCAGAGTGCTTGTAGTCCCAAGAGCATATCAAGTTGCTTCACATTTCTGTGCTCTTATGGTGATTTCCCCTTACTTGAAAGTAAATGATCTGTATCTAATCATTCTTCAAAATACAGTTCAAGCCACACCTTCTCTGAGAAGCATTTCTTAATGAACTCCTGCTGAGTTAGCTATTTAGACTGTATCATACCTCTGTTTTCAAAATGTGTGTTATCATTCACTTTTACATATCTGCTTCCCCTACTGGAGTCCTGGTGTGGCACTGTGGGATAAGAACTGGACCACAAGGTCGGTTTGAAATACAAGGTGAGTGGTTCAAACCCACTAGCCACTCCTTAGAAACCCTATACAGGATTGTTATGAGTTGGAACCGACTTGACAGCACTTAACAACAACAGCTTCTCTTACTAGTCTGTGAGTTCCTCGTGGGCAGAGATCTTATTTTGACTCATGGTAACCCCCATGTGTGTCAGAGTAGAATACCCTCCATGGGGTCTTTATTGGCTGATTTTTCATAAGTGTATTGACAGGTCTTTGTTTTGAGGAGCCCCTGGGTGGACTAACTCTAACTTTCAGTTAGACTGCCAACATTTGTAACTGTGTGACCACCCAGGATTCCCATTTTCAGGTAACTGTCGTATACCAGGTGCTCATTGATGGTTATGGAATTGAAAGAGATCCTTATTTTCATCCCGTCTTTTTGGCAGGAAAGGAGCCTTGCTGATGCTGTGGGTTAGACATTGGGCTGCTAACCACAAGGTTGGCAGTGGTTCAAACCCATGGAAGAAATATGAGACTGTCTGCTCCCATAAAGATTTATCGTCTGGGAAACCCTATGAGTCAGAACAAACTCGATGGCATTGGTTTAGTGGGATTTTTTTCTTTGGAGGGGGAGAATGGTCTCAGATCCTTTGGATATATGCAGTGATCTACCAGTCTGAGAATCTCTTTACAGGCTACTTTTGCTGTGTTTGGAGAAATAGGGAGGAAAGCAGAGGCAGGGGAGATGAAGGGGGTAGTGAGGCACCTGGCTGAGCCACACCTTGGTGACTGGGTTCTGTGACTCAGCACTCTGCTGTGTACCTTTGAGACCCAAACAGTGAAAGGCAGCACCGAGACTGCATATTTTTCCTGTAGGCTCTGAGGAATGTATTGAATAGTCTCTCATATTGACTCTGCATGTTTTAATGTTTTTCTTGTTAATTTGTGAGAGCTTTTACCAGTCATTTTTATCTAAATATTTTTCTTAGTCTAGTTAACTTTTTCATTTATTTAGCTGTTTTCCTTGGTATTGGCAGAATAAGGAAGATGATAGAAGAAATGATGCATTTGAATTCTGGTGTTGGAAAAGAATATTGAAAGTACCATGAACTGTTAGAAGAACAAACAAGGCTGTCTTGAAAGGAGTACAGCCAAAGTGCTCCTTAGAAGCCAGAATAATGAAACTTTGTCTCTTATACTTCAGA